TCTGTTTCCCAGACTGGAGTGCATTGGTGCGATCTCGGTTCACTGCAACCTCTGCCTCCTGGGTTCATGCGATTCTCCTGCCTCAGCCTCCCGAGTAGCTGGGATTATAGGCACGCGCCACCCATGCCTGGCTATTTTTTGTATTTTTAGTAGAGATGGGCTTTCACCATGTTGTTCAGGCTGGTCTCAAATTCCTGGCTTCAGGAGATCCACCTGCCTCTGCCTTTCAAAGTACTGGGATTACAGGCATGAGCCACCGCAGCCCACCAGCAAATTTTAAAATTTTTAGTAGAGGTGAGGTTTCACTATGTTGCCCAAGCTGGTTTCAAACTCCTGAGCTCAAGCAATCCTCCCGCCTCAGCCTCCCAAACTGCTGGGATTATAGGCATGAGTCACTGTTTCCGGCCCAGATATTCTTTTTTCTTATTTTGAGACAGGGTCTCACTCTGTCGCCCAGACTGGAGTGCAATCCCAGACTGGAGTGGTGCAATCATGGCTCACTACAGCCTTGACCTTCCAGGCTGAAGCATTCCTCCCACCTCGGTGTCTTGGGTAGCTGGGACTATAGGTGCACTCCACCATGCTTGGCTAATTTTTTGTATTCTTTGTAGAGACAGGGTTTCACTATGTTGCCCTTGCTGGTGTTGAATACCTGTGCTCATGCATTCTGCCCACTGTGACCTCCCAAAGTGCTAGGATTACAGGCATGAGCCACCGTGCTTGGCCCCAAATATTCTTTATTCCCCTTTCTCTCTCTCCTCTCCTTCTTGAATTCCCATTGTAGATATATTGGTGTGTTTGATGGTGTCCCACAGGTCTCTTAAACTCCGTTCATTTTTCTTCCTTTTTTCCCATTTGTGTTACTCAGGTAGTAACCGTTATTCCCATTGATCTACTTCAAGTTAAATAATTCTCTCTTCTGCCTGCCAAAATCGGCTATTGAGCCCCAGTGATTAAATTGTTCATTTCAGTTGTAGTCTTCAACTCTAGAATTTCTATTTGGTTCCTTTTAATAATTTCTGCCTCTTTATTGATGTTCTCTACTTCCTGAGACTTTGTTCGTATTCTTTCTTTTAGTTATTTGGACATGGTTTCCTTTAACTCTTTCAGTATATTTACAATAGTTTATTTAAAGTGTTGTCTGATAAATCCAATGTATGGGCTTCCTCAGGGACAGTTTTATTAATTTCTTTTGTTCCTGTGTATTGCTATACTTTCTTGTTCCTTTGCATGCCTAGTGATTTTCGTTGTTGAAAACTGGACATTTTGAATATTTTAATGTAGTAACTCTGGAAAGTAGAATCCCCCTCTTCTTCAGGGTTTATTTTTGTTGCTTGTTGTAGTTGGTATTTATTTGTACAGTGACTTTTCTGTATTATTTGTTATTTGTGGCCACTGGAGTCTCAGTTCTGTTACCTCAGTGGCCAGCTAGTGATTTGACAGAAATTTTCTTCTATGTCTGGAACATCAACAAAATCTCCCAGCCCTTACAGATGGACTGTGTGTGTGTTGGAGCATGAACGTGCCTTTCTCACTAAGCCAGGCAGTTTACAACTCTGCCTTCACCTTCACTTTTTTTGCATCATTTCCTTTTTTTTTTTTTTTTT